ACTACTCGCATAAAAAAAAAAAAAAAAAAAATTGAAATAAGTAGAAATACCCGATTTAAATATTAGTGAGCATAGTTGCTCGCCCAGTTGCACTCGTTGGCTTACTTCAATGATTAGTTGTTACTTATATAGCACATTTTAACAATTGCGTTCTTCATTTGATCTATGTAAATATGTATACAATATAAAATTTTAGATTTTGAGTTTTTCGAAGATGTTTAAATAGTTTTACTCGTGTTTTTTTTTTCAACCGAAAACACTTTTTCGAATATTAAAAATACTCGTATATATTTTTTTCACACAGTACTTCCATTAAGAGATATATAGATTTTTGACTCAGCGTATTACTTGAATAAAAAAAGAGAGATACTTACATTGCTCGTGGGTGTGCCACTGTTCATGGTGAGAAATTGGCAAGGTAGTAGAGGGGAAATGTAATGTATATCTGCACACGACGATTAACCATTGCTAACGAAAAAACTATTCTAAACGGAATTCGGTTAATAGTGTGCTGTGTCAACAATATATATCGTATATATATATATATATATATATATATATATATATATATATATATCATATTATGATAAAAAATAATTACATATGCACGTTAATATTGTACCTATTTTTCTATTTTTTCTACGTTTTCTCCCGGTTTTTCCCATGTTCTTTCACAGTTTTTTCCATTTATTATGAAAACAACTGAGATATCAAAAAATGATCGCCCTGAAGTACCATTCTAGTCAAAATTCTTTTCAGAAAATGTGCTATCAATGTAAATCGGAGCAAAATGGCTGGAAGAAAAATTGTTCACGGAAAAAAGAAGGTTGTAATATTTTAATAATATACTTTGTACATTTTCTCGTTTGTCCTCCATTTTTCCTGATTTTTCCTATTTGTTGGAAAAATTAAAATATGACCGGTATAAATATATCTTGTATAATTATGAATAAATACTGTGATTTCATATAAATATAAAAAAAAAAAACATTGTAATATCAATCTGCTCAGAATCTAAAATGTATTGACACACACAAAGTGTTATAAACAATTTTAAACACTTAAATAAAAGTAACTCTATCGATTTTATTTTTATCGATTTCTGAATTACCTAGGCTATAAGTGAAAAAATGACACTAAGATACAACCTTACTAGCAGCTTGTCGACTTCTAGTCAGAATCGTTTTTTAATTGGAATAATTGAGTATTTCTATCAGAACAAACATATTAAAATAAATAACCATTTATCCTATATTAATCTAATTTTAGCCCTAGTTTACCAATATAGTGGTAGTATTTTCTAGTACCTGTTCTTTTTTTATATTTTTTAATATGGATAAAAATATAGCTACTAAAACGAAGCAAATTAAGTATATTTTAATGACGTTTATTTCCATTTAAGTACTTGCATACCAAATTTATATTTCTTGGTATAGATATGATCTATAATCCGGAATAAAAATTGATTAAGTGGTAAAAACTAATTATAGCACAACTTATATTCTTCTTATATTTTGATTTTGATTAAAAAAATGTTCTGATTATTTTGGCTGTAACGCAGAAACATTAGTTATTATAATTAGATTTGATTGAAACGGTTAAGTGAATAAAAAAATACAATTTCTGTGCACTTGATCCAATAATCTGGAAGATATAAATTATACGAGACAGGTTGAGTAGTGAGAAACGGAAGGTACATAATAGCTTAGTAAGACATGTCGATACTTAGAAAATGAACCGCTTTTTGGTCGGTCCATTCGATTAAAAGATAATAAGGTGCAAACAGTTTATCACTTTCAAACTCAAAAAATCGTATTTCCCTATATCCCTACAAGTCTTCTACCCATCAATCCGGCTACGTGGCTCGTCAAATTCGGTTGGATTTTCCTGTAAGTCTACGCAAGAAAAAAAGAACATCGAAACGTTCTGGCGGCTGCGGCTCATAATTGAAATTTACAAATGTTCTACATACTTCATCATTATTGTAAAAAGGCGTCGTAAAATATGTCAATGAATAGTGCACCAAAAAACAGTCTTAAGAGTAACCAAAAAAATAAAATTAAAAACCTACATTAAACGATTTACTCAGTTAGGACAACTCAATTACACAATTTGTTTACATATTTTTTACTATAATTCGAAATTGATCAGAGAGGGGCTTGCAAATGGAAATAATTATCGTCTGAATTCAAACCATATAAATAGTTTATTTGTAATATAAATTACCCTGGTTTGAACGAAATGTTTACTTGTGAAAAATAATTGTATTACTGATTTTAGACCTCACCTACGCAAATAACTGAAACGCACATAACAATATTTTTTTTAAGAAATATATTAAAAGAAAAAAAAAAGACCTGATACGGGACGGATGTATACATCGTTGTAGGTGGAGAGTTTGGAAATTGAAATATATTAAGTAATTTAATATATATCAGTGACCGACAATAAACCATTACTAACGAAAAATGATTCGGAGCGAAGTTCGATTTTACATGTTATTAAAAGCCGTTATATATATGATTTTCGGCAAAATTTGATTTTAAAACTCCTATAAAAAAAAAAAAAAACTACATTAAATTCAATTTATTTTTTACCAATAGTTTTGACTTATAATGAACATCCTGTTCAATTTTCAAGCATGTCTTTTTAATCGAACAATTTTCTCCACAGAAATTAAAATTAAAATGTATATCAATACCTCAAAAATGACTCAATTTATTTGAACATTTTACCACGTTTAGAAAAAGGCCAATTTATGTTTTCTGTCAAAATTGTATGTTTCTATGGATATTTTTAACTGAATTACACCAAAATTTAAAATAAATTAAATAACATTATTTCGTAGATTTCCCCATACTTTCTATTTATTTTTTAGTTTTACTTAGTTATCTAAAAAACTACAAAGAAAATCAAAAAAAGACCTTCTTATTTCAATTAGATAATAAATAAAATCAAAAAAGTTTTTTGCTCGTTTTTATATTGGAACAATATTTATGTTAGAAAACGTAAGCCGCAAACATTCAAACATTTGTCTTTTGTAGTTTTTCCCATTTATTATAAAAACCACTTTGGATATCAAAACATGAATTTCTCTGTCAGTAGCTATATATTTAAAGAAACAAAATTGATTTTTTATTAATTTTCGATTAGAGTAATACTTATAGTAGGGAAACATCATAAACAATAATTAATAAACAATGTAAACAATAATATCGCAGTGCATGGTAAATATATGCCATTTTACCGATAATTTTTTTTTTGGATTTTTCCCTATTATCTTGAAACCTCCTTAGAAAATTAAAAATACCTCTCTAGTGCACTAACTAGACAAAATTTACTCTCGGAAAAAGTACTGTTACTTTATGCATCGGAACAAGATTTCTTTTTTAAAAGTTTTTTACAGACAGAAAAAAAAGGACACATATTAAAACCAATATATATCTACGTTTCGAATATAAAATGTTTCACATAATATTATAATAACGAAAAGTATGCCATATATTGCTTACTTCCACTTGAAAAACGTATAATACCACTGATCAAAGACGACCCTGATAATAATATACCAGCTATGCGTTCGTACTTTTCATATAACCAAATCCATTATCACGATAATAATATTATTGTGACTATAACATGACCGTGTCACCGGATGACAAATTGAAATGCGGGCCCAGAAGTCGTTATATGGGGGGGACAGAAAAATACGAGATCGATATTAAATATACGCATTACAAATAAACGGGACAAAATAATATTATTATGCTCGAGAAAGCGAATATTTTTATATTCTGTTCCCGAAGTGTCCGTATAGTTTACATTCTACCTAATAGGAGTCTGGACAGTCGATTGCCCCGGGACAGATCAAGAGGATCGCCAGCCGAGCTCTGTGATCTTTAACAGCGTACACAAATAATAAAAAAAATGTATCTTACGACTCTCGTTTGATGATGAAAACCAAGAAATAAAACTAAATACGTACAGCACGAAGTAATATTTGAGCGGTAACAGGTTTAAATAATATAATTAATACGATCTTGAAAATATTTAATACGATTTACCGAGCCCAGAGAAAACCAACTATCGTCCAAGAAGGTCCACGAAATTATTACTGTCTGAATTATAGGAATTAATGCAAAACGAAAATTCTCCGACAATACACAAAACTTCACTTGAATAACAATGTGTATACTGTATATATTATTAAAGTAACGGGCAGAAAACAACTTTTATAAACTGCTTGTAGTGCAGTTATAATACTTAAGTACAAAACTAATAACTACACGAATATCTTAAAAAAAAGGAAAACACGTGTACCTCGGAAATTTCAAAAAAATTAACAGTAATATCCGACCGAATATTATGTAATTTAAATTCCTATAATGTTTTCTTCGAAAATATTAATTTGATTATAACAAATTTCGCTACACAAATAATAAAAGAAAACATCAAACGCGAAATAGAATAATATCGGAACCTGAAATGGAAACAAAAATGGAAATTACTCCAGTCATTAAAAATAAATTCCATGATATAATCATAACTTTTAACCTCTATATTGTGACCGGAAGTTTTAAGGGTGTTTTTATACTTGTCAACATGTTACTAATCGAAATATTGCGAGGAAAATACCAGTAAAATAATATTCGTGTTCTCATTAGTGGGTCAACCGAAACGAATAATTGCAACAAAAAAAAAAAAAAAAATGATAGTGTGCATTTATAATGCGTAGTTGTTTCAACTGCAGACAGACATACAATTACAAACGACGAGTGAGTATCCAAGCGGAAAACGATATGGCAATTAAAATGTACGTACAAGTTTTACTGGCAGTGAGCAAGGTACAAATATAGGGTGGTTCATTTATTTGCATAAACTGCGGTGATTATATTCTATTATGGAGGTTTTAATAAGTACTGTAGTAATACGAAAATAAAGCGGGGAGTGCCTAGTTATGTAAAATCGATTTACACGTATAAATTAATTATAAATTTGATTACCTTTCTTCTTCAGGCGGCAAATTGATATGTTGAATTTGACAAAGGTGACCGTAGTGAATAAAAAGATTTTTAATGTAACAATTGTTTTTTATTTATTAATTTTTTTTTAAAATATAAAGCACTTTTCTAGGTTCCCGTGCTTTTGTCAGAATCTCTGCGTAGTCTTTTACACTCGCTTGTGATCATCTGTCCAAAAGCAACGGGAACAATACATACACTGTGTGTTTATTGGAAGTGGCCGGCCTCCTTATAACTGGAGAAATATGTGTGTGTGCGTGTGTAAATGTGCTATCTTAATTTAGTTAATACTAACAACTTAATCTAATAATTAATGACTACAAATTATTATNTTAACATTACATAATATTTTATTTTACATAATGTATGATAGCTTACATAGCATATCATTACATCCACCCCAGTCTCTTTTTTGTTATGCCCTCATAACAATGCGTATTATTTATAAAGAAATCAATGTATAATATTAAATTGTAGTATTAATAAGGGGAGAGAGTAAAATGAATATAATATAAAAGGGGGGTCCGTATGCATGTGATGTGTGGTGGATACTTATTTTATATTGAAGTTCCTCGAAGATCTGGATATAATTGTGGAGTAGGGTGTTTTTCTTCCGTTGTCTTGTTGGTCATAGTAGTAGAAACAGCCCCGCATCTGTTCGAGTTCTTCTTGTGCATTAGATAATGCGTTATGTTTTAGAAAATGCCCGCTATTGATTTAATGCTCCAACCAAATGTGTTGTAAAGGATGGATATCTTCAGTATGGTGTTGATAGTCATTTGCTATCACAAAGATTCCTAAGAGGCTGAATGCGACATGTCCTATCCCAAATTTTTGTAATTCAGAATGGACCATATTACTTATTGTTTGTTGGCTTATAATATTCCTAGTATCAAATCCTTGATTTATTATTTCATGACCAATTGTCTGTCTTATTAGATTTTTCTAGGCCGTTTCAGTTTGATGCGGGTACATGAGGTGTTTTAGTAGTGCATTGAATATTTCCGGAATGTAAATTCCGACCATCATGAAATTATCTGCATTTTCGTAAGACCAGGATAGTGTGGTAGCTGGTTTCAATTTTTGAGGAGAATATTATATTTCCTAGAGGTGTGTAGTACACTCTATGTTGATGGAAATAAAATATGTTTGAAAATATACGGGGTGTGTTTCTGCTTTCTGTAATAGTTTTATTCTTCGCATGTGTTAGATTTCGACGGGCGTTGGTATGTCACAGTCGTCCACTTCTAAGCTGTTGAAGGACGTGATGTTGACTTGTGATCCACCACAATCATAAGCTATACATTTGTTTGTAGTTGTGCAAAATGTAAAGAATATAAACAGAGAGTCTTTGAGCATGTTGATTATTTGTATTATATAATAAATAAAAAAAGGAAAAAAAAATATATCTATATATAAATAAATGAACAAATAGTTATGAATAATATAAGGAAATTGTGATAGTAATAATATGGAAGGGAAGAGAAAGAAAAAACCTGTGAATAAAAGTTTATTGATAAGTAGGTACATAATAATTATATTGGATGGGTGGAAGAGTATGATCATTTCTATTTGTTTAGCGTTTGCGTGTATTTATAAGATTATAAAAAAAAAAAAGGTATATTACGTATCTCTTTTTTTGTTATATTAGGTGCCCTACTCGATAATACTATGATAGCTGAGCGTAATAAGATGGTAAAAATGGTTAAAACGTATGGTGCCATATAATTATTGTTGTGAGGAGGCCTTTCAGATAAACGGTTTTTATGTATATATATATATTTTATTATATTATATCTTGTTATAGTATTATTTGTTATTATTATTATTATTTTTTTTATTTTTTTTTTTTTTTTTTTTTTTTTTTTTTTAAACGTATTCTAATCTGCCTACTTTTTCTATCTATTAATGTATGGTTTCATTCTTCTGACATGAATTATGTCATTAGTCGTTTTATTGTTGAGGGTTAATTCAACTTTATAATTTAAATCATTTATTTTGTCTATTATTTTGAAAGGGCCTTTATATCTGGGAGCAAGTTTTTGAGATTTTCCTACCTCATTAAATGGAAATAAGATTAACACTGAGTCTCCAGGTTGAAATTTGATTAAGCGGTGTTTTTTATCGTGTTGTATTTTTTGTGCATTTTGAGCGGTTTTGATTAAATTTGGAATCTTGTCTCTTAATTTGTTTAGTTCTATCAGTGATTTTTTTATGTCATAAGGGATGTTTGTTGGAATTATTTTGTTGTCTATTGGAAAATAAGGTTCAAAACCGTGCATTAAGTAAAAAGGACTGTATTTAGTGCTAGTTTGTGGTGTGGCGTTGTAACTTAACGTAACGTATGGTAAATAATATGACCATCTTGATTGGTTATTAACGTCTAAGTAATTTTTTAGAGCATTGCATAATACACCATTTATTTTTTCAACAAATCCTTGTGTTTGTGGGGAGTAACTGGTTGATAATATTTGTTTTATTCCCAAGTTACTGCATACTTCGCTCACTAATTGATTTCTAAAGTGTGCACCTCTATCAGATGAAAATTGTCGGAAACAGCCCCATTGTGATATTATTTGAATAATAAAATTTATGGTTGAGTGTGCTGTGGCTGACTCAACAGCTTTTGTGAAAATAAATTTTGTGTTATTGCATGCTGCNTTTTTTTTTTTTTTTTTTTTTTTCTGAATTACCTATTAGTTGGTTGATAATTTTATAAAACGTTTAAGCTAATATTCTGTTCGCTATATTTTTTGGAGGTGTGGTACGAGCTTTTTAGTTGGGCGCCACTTTGTAGTAATACGAAAATAAAGCGGGGAGTGCCTAGTTATGTAAAATCGATTTACACGTATAAATTAATTATAAATTTGATTACCTTTCTTCTTCAGGCGGCAAATTGATATGTTGAATTTGACAAAGGTGACCGTAGTGAATAAAAAGATTTTTAATGTAACAATTGTTTTTTATTTATTAATTTTTTTTTAAAATATAAAGCACTTTTCTAGGTTCCCGTGCTTTTGTCAGAATCTCTGCGTAGTCTTTTACACTCGCTTGTGATCATCTGTCCAAAAGCAACGGGAACAATACATACACTGTGTGTTTATTGGAAGTGGCCGGCCTCCTTATAACTGGAGAAATATGTGTGTGTGCGTGTGTAAATGTGCTATCTTAATTTAGTTAATACTAACAACTTAATCTAATAATTAATGACTACAAATTATTATAATTATTTTACAATATTGATTATATAATTTATTTTAATTATATATGATAGCTTAAGTATTATCTCCTTACGATGAGTAAATATCGTACTAAAATATATGTTATTTGATAATAAAAAAGAATGGAATCGGATGTAAATGTTTTACTATCATTCCTGTTATTAATTGTTTGATTTATTAACATTACATAATATTTTATTTTACATAATGTATGATAGCTTACATAGCATATCATTACAGTACATTATTTAATTTCGATTTTCTTCGAAACCGTTTGGAAGAATATTCTCATTTCGAATAATGCGAGTTCAAAAACCATATATAGCAACATGAACATATAAAATTCAATACTTTCATGCAGTTTATATTATAATGGTTTATACGATATAGGGGCAAAATTGGAAGACTTAGTACTAGATTACCCCTATTTTTAAAAATACACATTTATTTTTTTGGATAACCGCTATATTAATTATTTATTACATAAATGTCTGCTGTATAAAAGAGCTCAACCCGTTAAGTTTAATTTATAAGTTTAACTATCTATCTGTCTATCTATTTTATCTGTATATATAAAAATGAATGTTTGTATGTCTCTATGCTTTTCTAAACCGTTCATTCGAAAGCCATGAAACTTAGGGAAGTTGTTGAGTATGAAGGTTACTGGCATAGTGTATCTGCGCAATTCTTCGATAGCTCGACTATCAACCACAAGAACCGAATTTTAGGTTCTTTTGGTACAAATATAAAATATTTTTTTTTTATTTCTAAATTACCTTGGTAATATACGGGTACAAAAACAAATATTATTAGTTAACTAGGTTGTCTTGGGCAAATTATTGTTATGTCTATAGTATGTATTACATGAGTGTAAATATAGGTAAATACGTTTTTTTTTTTTTCGTGATTGTACAGAAAATGTTTAATTTAAATTGCAGACGAAGAAATCAATACACTTGTATACAATTCAGTTCATGGGTAATATAAGAGACATATATACGACATACATAAAACATACATAATATCTTCTTTGATTTTTCGAATACTACATCATCGACAGTTATGCCCACCAAACAAAAATCGATTGGTCGATCTACATCTGAAGCACAACAGAAAAAAGCATTGCAGGCAACGGAAAGCAAGATTCGAAAAGGAAAATAATAAATTTAAAAATAAAAATTAAAAATTGACATTTAACATATGTATGTAATACATAATATATAAAGCTGTCCCTGCCTGGGGTCACCAGTCCCAAATTTTAATATATAATTATAATATATTTATTTACTTTTTTTTTTTTTTTTATGATACGCAGTATATCGTAGAGAAGATTTTAAGCCATTATCGATCTGACCAGTAGAAGTAGTAAACGACCTAACCTGCAGTATGATGGGCTGGATAACAGAAAAATGTAACTGATATTATTCATTGCTTAGCAACCATCTAGCTTATTTGTATAAGCTTGAAAATAAAATGTATTTTTAAATATTTAAGGGCAACAACGGTTAACTGCAGCAATAGTGGCAGAGATTGAAACAAGAAGTCTAGGGTAAAATCTTTTTTATTACACATTATTTGGCGCAGGCAACACCAGGCGGAACAGCTAGTAAATAAATTAAATAATATAAATATATATAAGTATAGTTTTAAATGAGAATCTTAGTTGGCTTGATTTAGAATTTGCAACATCAGATAAATCGAATGCAATAGGTTCTTGAACAAATTTCGGTGCAGCAATTGAATAACATTAAAAACAAAAAAGTTTTTTTATTGCCCTTAAAAAATATTTAAACAAACAATCTGCTGGTTTTTACTCCAAGGTCATCTATTTAAAAAATATAATAGCAATTATTTAACAACTCATGTATTATATTACATACAAACTTACATTGAATTTTCAAAGACATTATTATTATTATCATTATGCAATATTATCATCATGATAATAATCATTATTAGAAAAAATGCCCCAAGAGTTAAAAAAATGTCGTGATTAAAAAAACAAAAAAAGAACTATTATAACTAAAATACAAACGCTAACATGCCGTGGATAAAAAAACTTATAACAATAATAATAATAATAATAATTGTTGTACGAATAATCTATACATTATATGCGGTAACGGAATCCAGATTAAGCCCCAGGACACTTGTTTAGACACGTAATGACGACTTTGAAGGTATACTTTTTTTTATCTTACGTGCTCATCGATCGTCGACTGAAGGTTGAGCGGCAATCTATTATATAGTTTAAAAAACTACGCCATTATGCATTTTTGGTATTTAAATATCGCTTAGGATTTCACAATAATCTGAGCGCACGACAATACTCCAGGTCAGTTAAAATTCAATATGATAATATGATAGTTATGGATATAGGTAGGTTCCACGATATTTAATTGTTGCGTTCGGCATTATTTAAATTTTCATCTACCCAAAATATTTCGTAATTATTTATTCCGAACTGTCGTCGCCCGCCGTTGGCCAGGTTAGTTTGTCAAAATCAATTTTATTTAATCCCAACTCAATCCCCCCATCCCCTAACCCTAAGTGCTAAGGACACCCCCACAACATTTTATCTTTAGAACATAATTTGTATGTTTACATTAATGTAGATACAAAGTTTATCTGAAATTGATTTTTATTTTCGCGTAACCAACACAACGAGAAAGCAACAAAAAAACAACGAAGAAACTCAAAGGTTAAATGTGAGTACCCAACATAGGAATTTAGTTTAAATTTTTAAAAAAAAACACTATACTTAAACTAATATATTCCTAGTTTTATTCAGAATCTAAAATAAATGTTATTGTTGAATGGTGAACAGACACATTTTTAATTTGGAATAGAAAATATAAATAAAATACATACATTCTCATTAATATTAAAATGCGTCAAACAGGTATAAAATTATTAGAATTTGTGTATTAAAATGTAAAACGTAGACTGACGCATAAATTATATTTTTTAAATGTCAAAACTAAATAAAACAAATGTAGAAAACTTTTTCAGTGTCTGACACCAAACCATATATGAAACATTAAAAATTTAAACATTATCGTAACGTCAACTTGAAAAGAAAACGTAATAAAACTTTTTATTTCATTTATATCTTTTCATAAATAATATGAACGAAAAAGATACAAGCGAATGGAAAATAAAAAACAACAACGGGTTAGAGGTACACATCCAGATATAGAAAAAATTAAATACAATTAAGGGTAAAATATTGCAATAGGCTAGACTTAGAAAACGCTTTTAGAAGTTAAAATACTCTTTTACATGCGGTGATGGAATAAAAGGTTCCAAAAGTAAAGAGACCTCTTAGAGGACTTGAGAAGATAGAAATATGTAGTGTTAGATACGTATGGAATCTCTAAATGGATCTTCAGACTAGAAACTAAAAGCAGGTAACGTAGTGAATTGTATTAAGTGTATGACGGGACAGATCCTAGTGGTTAGGAAAAGGAAATTCCAAAAGAATTTTATCGAAACGTGATTTTATTTTAATCAAATAACCCAAAGGTTAAAAACGAGGTAATGCCCATACTTTGGCCATTACCAATCTGGTAATTTGGTAATAAAAGGTATACTTTCAAATCAAAAAGAGGCAAGTTCGAAAAATCAATTTAATGAAATTAAAAATAATGAAAACAATAAGTTCCATTCCAATTTATGATTTAATCGTTCGAGTTATTAAAAATGAATTTCTTTGTATTGTATAATAAAAAAAGCGTTTTATTACTTGTCGGGAAAAAAAAAACGAAATTGAAAATAAATAGCATTACATTATGTTCAAAAATCATTTACCAAAATTAAATGTCGTATTATAACTACAACTAATAAAAATGTGAACAATTCAAAAGGTGCTCTTTAATTATACGTTTTTAGAAAAATTAACTCTACGTGGGACAGATTGTATGTGTTCGAAACGTTTATATTCAACAACGACTGTGAAAAGGTGGTGAGGTGAGTTGTACAATATTGAATTGCTCAAAGTCTAACGTTGCAGAAAATGTATTTCTACATTACGACTAACACTATTATAATATAAACGGATTAACGTCGAAGAAATACGATACCTGCTCGGCTCGGATCTATGATTTTTGTAACAATTTTCGTAGATTCTCTATTAAAACTTTTGTAACATTATAACGACGGCTGTAAGACGGTAGTCAGGTACAAATCAAAAAAGGATTGAAATATTATATCTAACAAACGACAGTTAAATATACACACGATATACCACACAGCACCTATTAATTATAATATTGTTCGGATTGGGAAAAAAAAAAAAAAAAAGAAAGTAACATAGAAAACGGTTACGAAAATCTGCAACAGAAGGAGAGGGATGGAGGAAAAAGTGTTTCCGATGCATTTAGTATCGCGTTACGAAAAATTGTATTTTTTAAATTATACAAGGATACAATGTATATTATAAGGGGAATCGTCGCGAAAAAACAAAAAAAAAAACAATTCCGGATCGATAAACATAATGTTATTTTTCGTGGAGTGTATATATAGGTATGGTGGGTACTACGGTATGTATATATATATATATGTATACATAGGTATGGTAGGCGGATAGATGGGCAGGTGGTAGGTAGACGGATAGGTAGACGCATAAGGCAACAACATATCGGGAAACGAAAAATCGAAATAAAATTAAACGGACGAGCCTTGGGACAAGGGGCAGCGCGGAAAAATGCGTTCCGTGTGGCGTTTTGTGACGAGTGTGCGTGATAATACCGTTCCGCCCCGTTTAGGCCAAACACGGCGCGAGCGACCACCGGCATTTCGGAATGTGGACAGTACGACTTGCGACCGACGCCGAGCCGAGCGCCCGTTCCGTCATCTCACGCTCGTTTCGCGTACACGTCGTCGTTGGATTTTCGCGTCCCGTCTCTTTTTATTTCTTCTCCGCTCCAATCGTGCGGTCCGAAAAATACCGGAATCCCGTACAACGATACGATACCGTTGCACTCCGTGTTACACCCGGCGTAATAATAGTATACTGTTGCATTTTTCCCGCGTCCGTTTTTCGCGCTGCCAGGTACGTAATATATTCCGTTCGTCCACGTGATATTATTCAACGCGTATCTCCTCTACCTGTACGCGAGGTTTCCTCCGAAACGGAAGAAAAACTCCGTTAACGCGCAGGTAAGTCAACCAGACAACGTACGTTTTAGATTACACGAAAATATAATACAATATTGTAAATTGTATAGAACACGTGTAT